GACCGCTAAGGGGCCAGGGAGGAGCGGGGGGCGCGGGCCGGAGTGGAGAGGGCGGGGCCTGGGGGCGGAGCCGAGGGAGGAAAAGGAGGAGGGAAAGGAAGGGGGTGGGGGCCCCCAGGGCCAACCGACACCTCCCGGACGAGAGTAGGAGTAGGTTGGAGAAAGGGGTACAATTCCCTCTGTAAAGCAGAAGCGGGGCATGAACCCAGGGCAGCTTTGAGTGAGGGGGGCTTCTGCTCTGAATCAAGAGGAGATCAGGAAGAGAAAGGGTCCTGAGGTCCTGTTTTCCATGTGGAAAGCAAGCAGAAGACAGAGGAGGGGAGGAAACTCCTCGGCCCGGAGCTCGCGCTGCAGGAACCTTCTGTTGGTGCGAGACTGGTTGGCAGGTGGAGACGTGAGACAAACACTTCAGGAGTGTGAGAACCACGCAAGGTCCCGGCTCAGGCAGCCAGATCCCCGGATCCCCCACTTGAAGGGCTGGGGAGGAGGCTTTGAGTGAGTCTCTGGAGTTACTCAGCCCAAGCACTGTGAGTGACTCCTGAATCACACGCACAATCTCAGTGCCAGCGATGTACTAAGCGCTCCCTGAGTCACTATCTGGACCCTGAGGACTCACAACCCGGGAGACTCTAAACTCAGCTGGCAAGCAAGTGCTTTAATGGCAAAAGGAAGACCCACGGAGTTTCTCAGCCTTCACCCCTGAGCCACCCACCATGTCCTTTCCCCTGTCCACCTTGAAGTCCTCTCTCCACAGGGCTCGCTTTGTAAAGTGGAGTTCTTCCCCATCCTGGCTGGTCTGTCCCAGTGACCTTGAGCCAGGAGGATGAGGATCCTCCCTGGACTTGAGCTTCCTCCTGCATCTAGGAGGGTTTAAACAAAATTATTCCAATGAACTCGAGTTTTGTTCCCACCCTTCTCTAACTCAGTCTTTCCAGCCTTTCCCTTCGTTGTCCTCTTGCCCAGGGCTTTACACCTAGCAGCTCTGAGCAGCAAACGCATGGGATGGAGCTAATGTCCCCATCCAGACTTAGCCCTATGGGAATACAACAGCAGATCAAACCCTCAGTTTGTGAACTGGGGACTCGGGGCGAATACTTTGCCTGCTGTACTTTTTAACCTCATCCTAATTTTTAAAGGGAAGAAAGTGGGATATAAAGAGGCTCCATCAGAGAGTGAGACAAAGGATGGAAAGAGATTGTTTCATACGCTCTGCAGGGATCCAGGAACAGACACTGGGCCAGACGCAGGGATCCAAAGGTATGTAAGGCATAATCTCATCTTTAGCAGAATACTACAGCTGGTCTAGAGGAACCAGATGCAAATATATGTAGTGAGATGAGCACCACTGCAAAGATATGCACACAATACTCAGGGTTTATGAGAGTGGGTCTGCAGGGGCCACCAAATGCTTTCCAGACCCATATGACTAGCCAGTTGGCTTCCCTGACCTGGGAGTGAGTGTAAAAGACCTCCTAGCAGAGATTCCAAACTCCAGACTAGTGTCAATCTTAGGACCATCTATAGCCTAGCCAGAGGCCTTCCTATAGAGGCCTTCCCTTTGGGTTCAGCACCTAACCAGGAGTGACCCAGAACAAAGGCAACTCTGAAGACCATTGGTCTGCTATCTGTTTATCAATTGAGAATATTTTAGTTATAAGTAATAAAGCCATTACTAATAGTAATAAGACTTATTCTGTCTTAAAAATAGATTTCACTGGATCATGTCACTGAGCATTCCAGAGTAAAGACTTCAGGTGAGGCTTGATCCAGCAACTCAGAACTTATAACCTAGAATTTCATTTCTTTGAAGCTCTCCTCTCTACCTTTATGCGGTCTACTTTATCCTGGAGTTCTTTTTTCATGTCACAAGATGTCTGGCCTCAATTGCCAAAACTCCTTGTATCTTTTGTTAATTCTAGCCCAGGGGAAGGAGGGTCAGCATTTCTCATGATTTCCCTCGAAGGTCCAGAGATTCTCTCTTTTTAATGAGAGAATCCACCCCTAGATCAATTGCTGTGGCCAAGGAGATAGAATGTGCTGAACAGCTTGGCCAAGGTTCCATGCTTCACCTCTGATGTTGGGGTGACACCATCTTCCCTGCAACCACTGGGATGCTCCATGGAGATCAAGGTCTGATGGATAGAAGGAACTGGGTGCTAGGGATCAGACCCAATCACGTATACCATGCAGCTTCCTTGAGGCACATGACCTTGGGTAAGTCTCCTCCCCTTCCAAGATCTCAGTGTATTTCAACCAAATAAGGGGTTGAATGAGTTGCCCCCTAAGACTTGTCACATCACCAGAACTCTCCTTTAGGGTCTACTAGGGCTTCTCTATCCCAGCAGAGCCTGCTTTGGGGATTCTTGCCACCCCTTCCCCCTTGCCCATCTTTGCTTCATTTTTCCCCTAAGCAGATGTTATCTGTTTCCTCCACATAACACATTTAACCACAGTCCTTTGGGGCCTGTGCTCTGGTTCAGCTCCCTCGAGGGCCACAGGCTTAAGGAGTGAGGTTAAGGATCTGAGGCCCCAAGTCCCTCAAGAGACAGAATTGTTTGTTTATCTTGACTCATAAAAAGCCATGCAAGAGAGAGATTTAAAATCTCCAGGCTGGTTGTGGATGTCGTGAACAGCATATGTGATATTTTTAGAGAGAAAAATCACCTGAGATAGAAGAGGAGGAAGGGCAAGCTTCTAGGGTCTCTGGGACCATCTTCCTGCTCCAAGACAGACAGCACCACAAGAATGGTGAGGAGGCTTGGAAAAGATGAGACAGAACAGCAGATGTCTTGGAGTGGGAGAAGGAGGTGGATTTTGCCTTTTCTTAAATGCCCATCCCAATAGGAGGGGGTGCAGTTGGTTTGGCTAGAGAGTGAGCCCCGGGGAGCCAGGGCTGGGCATTGTCAGTCTTCTAACTTAATCCAAACAAAAGCAGCCACTTTGCATTAGGAGGGGCCCTGCCTTCAGCTTGCAGCAAAGCCAGACGAGGGAGCTTGATGTATAAGACTGAGCTGAAAGTGCTGCCTGACACTCCTGCGGCAGCTCCAGCAACAGCAGGGAAAGTCCTTAAAATTTTTAAAGCTCATTCAGTCGTTCAACAAAGATGTATTGGACCCTATTATGTGCCAGGCATCATGCTGGGCAAGCAAAATAGAGGTATGAAGACGATTCCCTGAAGAATTCTTCTTCTAAAATATGATGCCTACTCTCACTTGATCAAGAGCCAGAAAACTCTAAAGAACTTCTGAGCTGATTTGTGGGATTTCCTGCCCACCTCCACCCCAAATCTTGTTTCATCATCGCTTTCCTGTGAGAGGGAGTAAATCACTTAACACACAGTTGTGAGCTCCTGGGTATGCAACACTGAGCTAGGGGCTACGAGGAAAATCAGGAGAAGGGGAATCTTCACCATGAAGAAGCTGTCAGAGAGGTCAGGGTCCAGGCCAGCACATGGATGGCCACAGCACAGTATGTAGCATGGTTAGGAGCCAGATTGTCCAGGCTTGATTTGCAGCTCTGCTGTTTTTAAAATAGTATTTTAAGTGTCAATTGTTTATGTCTAGGCCTCAGTTTCTGCATCTGCAAAACGGGGCTGATAATAGGGTCTGTCATCTAGGTTCCTTATAAAGATTAAATGAGCTAACCTGTATAAAGGAATCTTCCACAAAGACTGGCACATAGTAAGTGTTCAGTAAATGTGAGATGTTATTTGTTTTATTAATAATAGTAGGGCACTGTTGCCTGTGAGTGCCTAAAGATATCAGAAAAAAAAGAGCAGTAGTCAAGGAGGCCTTCCTGGAGGAAGTGGTACTAAATCTAGTTTTCAGCTTTGATAAAAATCTACAAGTTTTTTGTAGTTTTTTATTCTGACCCAAGAGCCAGAATCTCATCTTATTCATCTTTACTTTCTCTGGCACTTTGCTCATCGCAGGGCACTGAATGAACTTTGGTAGCAGAAAGAACACCAATCATAGGGGGCAGGCAGCAGTGAGCCTGGGGTGCCGTCACATTAGAACCCAGTGCTTATCTGTTCAAAGAACATGGGTTCAAACACCATCTCAGCAACTTTTTAGTTGGGTTTCCTTGGCGGGCAGGTCTGTAAAGAAATGTTCTCCCCTTCCTTCAAGCAGTCTTGCCCCCAGTGCCAGAAAAATCTAGACTTTCCTTCTTCTGAATTTAAATAAAATGCAGCATAAGAGTCAAATGTAGTCAAATCCATTTTGGTGGGTTTTTTGTTTGTTCGTTTTTGCTTTTTTAAAATTAAATCTCAATCA